ATCTATCTATCTATCTATCTATCTATCTATCTATCTATCTATCTATCTATCTATCTATCTATCTATCTATCTATCTATCTATCTATCTATCTGTCTATCCATCCATCCATCCATCCATCCATCCATCCATCCATCCATCCACAGTCCTCACAGCCTACTGAAACACACTACACCTGAGCTCCATGAATATCAAAATCACTCAGCTTTTCATCCCTCTTGCTTGATGTCTTATGTTATTCAGATCCGAAACAGAAGCTCTGACAATGTCAGCATTTTAAAGCTATACCATGAATATTGTGCAGTGCTTTCACCCACATTTTGAGGTTGTAACTGTATTTTGCGGTGCGTTTCCTTGTTTACAGTTTTTCTCAGTCGCTGTGGTGCTTTTCTCACATAACTATTAACATTTGCACAGCAGTTAGTGTATTTCTCAAAACATTTGGTGCAAACCGCAAAACCTAGTGGATAACCTGCAAAAGCAGGTCACTTGCTCAAAATCGATAATCCATTCCTCAAAAGCAAGTATTCATGTCAATGAAACTGCCGGTGTCATCAAAGTGAGAAGTCTTGACACCATCTTTATGAACAAGATAGTCAAATGGCTTTGTCGTGTTTTCATTATGACAGTTCACAGTATTCTCTCAGTGTTTTCCAATGCAAAAAAGGTCAGAACTCGGTGACACTACCTGAAAATGCTCAAGACAGCACTATACACTTTTTGTACAGCCATTTACAGTAAAATCTACAGAAAAGTTAGACATTGCTGTAGTTAGGAAAGTAAGTGAGTACAAGACACTGAATATGTATGTTTCACATTTTTACTGTGTAGGCTGTTTGTAATTCTACAACATTGTGCAAAAGAAAAATACTCTACAGTCACTTATTTAGAATAAACATAAGAAACACCCTTTTGGTAGAGCTGTGCACAAATGTGAACAATATAACAGTACATATTGTAACTGAACATACGTAAATCATTCTGGCACATCCAGACGTCCCTGTCTGTCTGACCACATATTCTCATCTACATCACAACGGATATCATCCCTTGCAATGCAATGAGGACAGTAACTCCTGAAGTGACGAATCCACCCTCTGCATGACTCTGCTGTGATGTCGTCACATGCTGCATCCACGGCTGCTAGCAGGGCCATTTGCGCATGTGAATGCCGGTCAAAAACCTTCCGCCTCCAGACAGAGAAAAACTCCTCTATCAGATTAAGAAATGGGGAGTAGGGAGGGAGATATTCAACCAGCATTCTATCATGTGTCAGACACAGATCCAATATTGCCAAATACACCGTTATCCTCTATGACAGCACTTTGAATTCTTTCAACTTTATTGCATTGTATGCAATCACCATTGCACAAATGGCTTCCTCTTGCTGCTGGGTAAAAACAGGCCTTCTTCCACCTCCGCGAGGTTGTTCACAGTGGTTGTTCCAACATTTGCTTGCACCTTCCGACCGCCGTCATCCATTGTGAGGCTGTGATTGACAACACGCCCCCCCTCCCACACACACACACACACATCCTCACCCCTCTTCCACCATGCTGACCTCCCATTTCTGTGTTACAGAATTGTAAAAAATGGTGCAAACTATGTCCTGCTCGGTTCATATTTGCTTGCCAATTGAGGGTTCATGGGATTGATCCATGAGTGACTGTGAACAAGAGGCTTGTCATTGGTTACAACTGATACTTCACACACCTCCTCATCAGTGAAAGCTGAAGTTCACCCGAGAGAAATTGTTCAATTTCGGGGACATTTCCAGGAAAAAATCATTAAAAAAAGGTATAAAATTTGCTTGACAGCATTTGAAAACAAATTCACCAATTTTGTATGTAATGACTCAAGCAATGAAATGAAGACTATTAGAGAACTAATAGTCTTTCAGCATCCAAAAGTATAGTTCATTTTGACTGACATGACATAAGCAAATGATAATGTGCAGATGGCTGATACATGTCCAAGAGCATTTGCAATTTGTTCAGAGGAAGGAGAAATTGCTACTATGATGTGCACAAATGACTAAATGTTGTGGAGGTTGCACTAATGGTTTTGAGAATTTTCATTCTGATCTGAGAAAAGCACCAAAGCGACTGAGAAAAACTGTAAACACAAGCATAAGAGGCAGAACAGAGAAGGAAATAAGAGAGCGTGCTCATGTGGTGGTGTGTGACAGACAGACTCTGACAGACTGCTCACAGTCCTGAAAAACAGGCACTTACAGTGTAATGGTGCGTGACTTTTTTTTTTTTTTTCGTAGCAGTCACGGCCACAATGTTAGAGGCCTGCATTGTTGTCCTGGAAACACTTTCAGTCGTGTCTATTACTGAAAACACAGGTTTATGACACACCCTGAGGCACACCTGTACTGACAAACAAAAAAGAAAAAGAAACACACAAATCTCTTCCTTCCAAAAACCTACAGGGAGCTTTAAAGGCAGACGATCGGACTGTGTTATTATTTTTGGGTCTAGTTTTACAATCAGACAGCTTCCTCTTTGGGTGGTGTTGAAATGTTGAACCAAAGGTGCCAGAGCTGAAGAGAATGTATGTGACGTCCACCCGCTCACCTTGACGTCTCATGGGCGTGCCACGTGTGTCAGCTATTGATTGTGCATGAGAAAGTGTTGGAGAATTGACAAAGCACACAGCCGAGAGCACTGGCTAGATTTGTGGCTGTTAATGTTTGTTGTTGAACGTTTTACTTCGCCCATCGGAAGCTATGTTCCACAAAAATGAAGACAGAGTCATGAAGGATCCAAGGATTTCTTCAGGCAGACTTCCTTGCCAGCAAATATCTGCTCCTTTAGTCAGGTAAAGTGAGATGGTGGCGGTGGAGGTGGTGGAGGTGGTGGAGGTGGTGTTGGTGGCGGTGTATCTCCTTTTCCTTAATGTGGAGGGAAACACATCTTAACTCAGAAACAGCAGCTGGATCTGGTTTCAGTCAGGATTATTAATCCAGATCGTTCATACAGATACGCTCATATCTATAAATCACTTCCTTATGCGGCTGCAAACCTCTGATCTGCATCAAATAACATTAAAGTCATTTTTTAAATCACAGAATCGAATTATTTACATTTTTTATTTGTTGTTATTTTGTATTTACAAAGTAGTCACGCATTTTTTAAGGACTGATGTTACTGGTTATATAAGAATATAGAAGAGGATGCACCTGATGTGCCAATAACAATGACGCTTTCCATGGATGTGAAAGAAGACATTTAGTTATACAGTCAGTCCACTTACTCACTGTTATTCTGCTTGTTATTTAAAAAAATAGGAGGCAAAGTTTGGAGAATTGTACATGCAAATTATTTGCTGCCTAATAATAAGAGATTCAAATGAACATGAAAAAATAACTATTTGTTCATGGTGTATGTACTCCATACATCATGTACGCTTTGAAGGTAATGAATTTGTTCTATTAGACCGCGCTCACTATCTTGAAATCGTTCAAGTGTTTCATTTGGCATTACTCATTTGTTAACAACCAGAACTGGAGATAAAACCTTTAAGACACATTTTAATTACAGCCTTTCAGCATTTGTTAGCATGGGTGTGATGGTAGGGCTTTTCTAGATTAGTATGACTCAGTCTGACTCTTTCTTCTGTCACATGTCAGAATAAATAGAATAAAGCTTTAGCCCCCTGTGTTTATTTACTAAACTTAAACTTCTTCAACTTAACAGGGTGAAGAAGCCAGGCTCGCTTATCAGATGTTTCCACTTGTTGCAGACACACCTGGTGGTCATCGTTGTCCTCTTAGCAGGTATGCTCTGACATCAGCTGTGACACAGAAGACATGAAAAAACACAAAGACAATTGAGACAGACAATTGAGCGGAGGGGGCTGTTTAGTGGACCAACAGCTTTGAACCTCTAATTATAACCTGCAATGCATGGCATGCACACGCACACACATACAGTACGCACACAAATACCTTGAACTCTTTCATAATATACTGTAACCTGTTAGTCTAGTTTTGTTTATTAGTCATACAAAAGACTGCTATTCTGAGAAAGGCACAAATGGAGAAGACTAAAAAAGACCACACAGAGAACAGGAAGTGAGGGAATGGAAATGTATTTCAATGACTTTGTGCAACTACCAGAAAGTGCATTGATTTTTAAAGTGTTTTGTTTTTTTTTTAAACAGAGTTTATGTGCTGAAAATTTTCAGTATTCCCATTTTCCAGCGTGTAGGATTTAAAAACCACATTAGGAACTCTAAATTTGTACACTGAAACTGGATCATATTAATGTCCATCAACGTGGTGTCTAGTGTTCAATACACACGATTGGCTTTTGGTCCCAAAACTCTCCATGAAGTTGCCAACAGTGGTAACTGAGAACTTTTTTCTTTTCCAATCAGGGCAAGCCTCCTGCAACCAGACCACTACAACTCCTTCCCCTTTTACTGTTTCTGCTACAGCTCCACAAATATCAGGTAAATGAACCCTGATAAAATCTGCTCACCCCTTGGCTTTGTAGAAAAAACGTTTGTTTAATCTGTGTTACTGATTTGTATGTCACTCAGTGAGATAAGTGTTTGATCTTCAAGCAAAACTTGAATACTTGGTTGACTTAGTATTTGGTTGAGAAACAAGCACAGAGATAAGAAGTTTACTGATAGCTGGTCACAAGGTTTGCACACACCTCAGGAAGGATTTGGGGCAACTCCGCACGATATGCGGAGGCAGATTGTGTGGATTCTTTTATGTGAGGACCCATATGCAGACCACAGTGAGACGAAAATGGGAATTAACTAAAAGTGTGCCATTTATTAAGGCAGATACACCAAATGGGGGAAAAACATAAATAACGAACTAAACAGAGGTACGCCTGAACTGGGGAAACAGAACACAGAAGAGCCACGGGGGTCAAGCAGACGCGACGACAAAGGTCAGGGGAAAACTCACACTGTCAAGAACCTCGGTGTACACTTACGATAAGGACCCTGGAAGTAGACTCAATGTGCAGCCACTCAGAACTATGTACAGGTTTATTAATAAACAAAGCAACTTGATGAAAACAAGGGAACCAAAACTACAAACTCAAGCCAGGGAAAAACTGGGAACAGAAAGCCCTGGAGCGCCGTAATCTGGACTGAGGGAAAACTGCAACAGAAAGGAGAAACACAATTACTAGAGTACTGAGGAATGGCGTGTAACAGCCAGAAAAAGTTAAACGTCAGGGCTTATGATTAGAGCCGGACCGTGAAACTCAGAGGGGGAAGAGTCCATGGAGGGAGTCTGAGGAGGCAGGAATGAGGATGGGAGGCAAACAGGCATGGGGACAGGCAGGTGGCAGGATCCCGGCGCTGAACGTCGTTCCCTAAGTACACAGACACAAGATTAAGACAAATTCCGAAGTTCTCCAGTAAATGCAGGACTTACGAAGAGCCTAGTTACCACCGAGGGGTAACTAACGGACTGGCGAGGAGCAGCCATCTGCGCCGGGTGAAGTAGTCCCCCGCCGATTACCTCGAATGGGATGCAGGTGTGTAGGAGATGGCGCAGCCCGAGGATGTGGAGCCCAGCTATGCCACTCCATGACCTTAATATGCTTCTTTAGCCACACCTTTGTTCCTCTGCAGCATATTTTAAGTCACTGTCATGTTGGAAGTTTCATCCATGACCCGTCTTCAGTATTCTAGCTCAGGGAAGAAGGTTCTCATCCTAGGTTTTATGGTACATGACCCTGTCAATAGCCGCTCAATGCAGCGAAGTCCCCTGTACTTAGCCCAAAGCATGATGTTTCCACCTCTGTGCTTGACTGTGGGGAGATTTTCTTTGGGTCATACTCAGCATTTCTCTTCACTTTTGGCTTCATCTGACCACAGCACTTTCTCCCAAGGCTTCTCCTCCCCCAGGATGATCCTCCTCCCCCAGGATGATCCTCCTCCCCCAGGTCTACAATCTTGTCCCTGACATCCTTTGACCGTTCTTTGGTTGTGCTCATGATGGTGGAGAGGTTAAAATGAAAGAAACTGATTCTGTGTGCTTTATACACATAATACATTGAGAGCAGGTGAATCTGCACTTGATTGATCGATGTATTGAAATCTGTGTGTCACATGGGAACGCAGTCAGTCTGCGGGAGCCGGAATTCTGGTTGGGTAGAAAAAATGTTTATTTCTCTAAATGACATACAAATGAATTCATAACTTTTATGTTATTTTTACTTTTTTTTTTATTTATTTAAAAATTAGAGGCTGTTCATTTTTTTTGCAAGTGAGCACTTACACGTCCAGCAGGGGATCAAATAATTATTTCCCCCACTGTAGTTGACTTGTACAGGTAATAGTATTTAAGTAAATTAGGCTAAATAAAAATACAAAAAATTCTCAAAACTGGGGCACATTTTTGAATGGCCTGTTAACATTAACCACCATGAAAGCCATATAATTTGGAATGTAACAGAACAAAAGTGCTCCAAATGGCAAGAACAACACAAACAAGCTAACTATCTAAAACTTCACCCCTGTTAAGGGGTGATTACCCCCCATGTGGGGTAATCAGGTTGTTAGTTTTTAACTGTTGCAAATCGGCAACGCCTGCCTCGAGAGGGTTAAAATTACCACAGAGCAGAATATTAGCCATGGAAATTAAATATATAGCTTGACATTTAAAATGAGCAGCCAGCTTCAGGTGGCTATGTGAGTCACTTCATTTTTGGTATTTCTATTTTTGGCTCCCTTTCTCAGCCCTTAGATTGCCTCTTGGTTACAAGCAGCTGGTATGTTGTCCTCTGTTATAGAGTTTAGCAACTTTTGCCAATGATTCTCTTTGCTTTGTACTGCAGTATACTACTTTGTTGACATTACGGTGGATGTCACTGGACAGAGCAAGAACGAATCTGAAATCATTGCCTGGGTATGTAACATGTACGACAGCAGGCTTATTAAAACACCAGATGTAATGCTTAAATCCTGTCAGCAAACTGTATGCTCTTTTCCTCAGCTCAAGCAGGTTTTCAGCACCAAGCTGGAGAACTGCGTGCCTCCAAAGCCTCCAGAAACTACTGCCACACCGACCTCCCCACAAACTACACCTGCAAGTACTGTCAATGAGACGACAACTGCAGTAACCACATTACAGAGCAATAGTACAGGTGCAACATCCACGGCCTTAGAAGGCAACAGCACTACAGCAGCGACCAAAAGTAAACAGAAAAGAAGCTTGATACGTGTAGCTCGGGATGTTAGTGGCAATGGGACACAAAGCAGGTATGAGTGCAACTATTTCTATCAAATAAATGAACAGATGAAAAATGAGATTATGAATTTTCATGGAGCATTTTCTGTAATATATTGTGGCAACTGTGTTGTCGAACCCACACTGTGAAGATTTGTTACGTTTATCATTTAAGGTGAGATTACATTCAGAGTTATTGTAG